ACGCATTATACCTACTAGCTAGTCTAGGAATATGTTTCAATTAGTTTGCACTATAAAGCATATATATATATATATATATATATATATTTCATGTTTATCTCTATTATTTTTTAAGAAGAATTCACTTATTTAAAAAGTAAATTTGTCTAAATTTACTTAATTTATTTAATAACTCATATTACATATCAAATTTCAACAATGCGATAGTCAAAACTAAAATTTCTTAATACATAAATTAATTTTGCAAAGTTTTACAAAAAAAATTGAAAATTATTTAATATACTATTTTTTTTTATTGAAATTAAGGGATAATCATATATTATTTTATAAATTTATTTGAATTAATGAAATAGAGTATCAAATAGTTTTTAAATTTTAAAAAAAATTACAAATTTAATTTATATATTAAATTTTTTTAATTCAATGATTGGATAGTTAAAATTTGATATAAAATATAAATTATTGAGTGGAGTAAATAAATCTCCTCTTTATTATCATTTATTATTATTATTGAAACAATTGGAGATAAAAGATGAGAAAATAGAGAGATCTAATTGTATTAAATAATAATGAGAGTGTAAATAGAAAATTCTAAATTCAAGGAGGAAGATTATGAGAATTACCATAACTTATTAAGGTGGGGTTAGAATAATATATATGCTTTTTTTTTTTAAAGATTATAAGATTGGTTTTAGAATAATATATGTACGAGGTGGTTCGAATTTTAGTGTTATTATTGTATTATTAGTGAAAAAAAATATTTGACTCTTATTTGGAAAAAAGAAGTAAAAAAAAACATAAAGAAATATGAAATAATTTGAAAGGTTTGTTTCTCTCATTTAAAAAAATTAAAAATGAAATATCAAAGTAGGGTAGTTGTTTAAATGTAGGTGGTGCTTTCTTGGACACATAGAGTTGGCCTAGTATTTCGGGATTCAATTTCTATTTGTACTTAAATAATATTTGGTGAGTGAAAGTCATGTCTTATGAGTATAAATTAGTTATTAATCGCCAAATTTAAGATATTGTATAGATCATACCTATGAAAAAAAATTAAGTATGAATTGTGCATAGTGAAAAATTTACGAAAAAAATATAATAATTTAAAGAGTGATTTTATAGATAAAATTGAAACTAAAATGTGTATGTGAAAAAAAAAATTCTACCACCTTTATCATGTATATAGATTATAGATAATTTTTAAAAATAAATAAATGTATAAACTAAAAAACTGTACACTTTGATCGATTATTTTCTTACAATATCCAAATTTTGTATCTTAGATAAACTATACTAATGTTGTGGTTTTTGTTCTTTATTTTTTATTAACTACAAAACTTGTTTCATTTGTTATGCAAAACATAAAAATTCATGATTAATGTAACAAATATATATATAGGACAAATCATCAAAACTTAAACTTAAAATTTTTGCTACGCTAAAGTTGGAATTCTTATCCAACTCTAAACTTAGATTTTGACTGAACTGTCTCCATTCAAAGGCACTTTTATCTTTTTGGGATAAAAGACCACCGATAACCACAATTGCTAGAGGTAAACCTTTACATTTTCTAACAATTTCAAGAGATATATATTTAAGTTCTTCTGGACAATATACATAAGATCCATACTCAAATGCCTTCTTAGAAAACAATCTCAAAGATTCTTTTTCACTTAAAGGCTCTATCTTGTGCACTTGAATGAAAGAAGATTTCTTACAGAACTCTGTAACCTCTTCGTTTCTGGTTGTGATTAATATCCTACTTCCTTTTTTGCTATCAATTAGAGCAAAGTCAATCTCATCCCAAAAATATTTATTCCATACGTCATCCTCTCTTGAGGATCTTGACTTGGCCCATGACGAGGCTCGCGCCAGTGCCTGAGCGATCGTTATCATAGAGCTTCCGCCGACGAGCGTGAGAAGGATTGGGGCTAGGGTTAGGCTTTCTTTGTATGGAAGATGAATAGAGGGGCATTGTGACCTTGAAGACAATCGTGGGATTATTTTGTAGGGTCAAGATAACCCCTAAAATTACAACTTTTTTTGGCGGTTTATTAAAACCGCTAGAAACAAATCGCTACTAATTGACTAATTTTTCTTAGTAATAAGTCTTTAAACTCTTTTACCTACATTGACAATCTATTGGTAAAAGAACTTTAAGTTGTATTGAGTTTTACCTACACCAAACAAAAGTAGGTATAGATTTTTGAGTTATACCTACATTAAAGATTTGTAGGTAAATTTTTTTTTTTTTAATTTTACCTACACTAATTCAGGTTTATAGGTAAAAGTGTCTGTAGGCATAGGTTATTTTTTTTGTAGTGAAGGTGAAATATGTCTTCATTTTTGTACTCCAAAAATCATAATTTTCACCATTAAAAATGGGAATAGGGATAGATGACGGTTGAATGGTGTTAGCCATGGATTAGAATTTGATTTTTTTTGAAAGTGGGTAGAATATTGGGAAATTTTTTTTGGAAGTAGTGGGGTAATATTTCTACGCCCAGTAGATGACCGAACGTAGCTCTGGTACCACTGTTAGTTTATGAATTATCAAATAGTAAAAGCTTATTTGATTGGTAGAAGGAATGGGGAGGCAAATTTATAATGATAGGCTTAGTTGAGAGGAAAACTAGTTTAGAGGAATAGTTGGAATAGATTTGAGTAGTGAAAATGGCTTACTAGTTGCTTGGTACAAATGTTGAGTACATGACCTATTTATAGGCCTCAACACATCATTCATGTTTTATGTAGAAAACTCTAGAAATATCTATTCTAGAGTTTTCTATCTATATGTAATTATCTTTTTTTTTAGAAAATTGAAACTTTTCTAGTAATGACATGTATATCTATGTTATGATAAACAGTATAACTAACATTATTGTTTAATTACATTAACAAATCAGCTAAATCACAATATTTTCACAACTTGCACTATAATAATTCGTTTTCACACTTTCATGGTGTTACATCGAATCAAATTTCAAACTGTACAGATTCAAATCGAACCATAATCTTTTTTTGTTGTCAGATGCAACGTCTTTTTATGAGATGCGATGATATTTAACTAGATTATAATGGCAAATTATTTAAAATTTGGGTAGCGTAATATGAAATGGATATGGTGACATTAATTACAATTAATGACAAGCATGGTCCAGCCAACTATATATCCAACTCACCGAATAAATATTAAAGAATGGGGAAGAGAAACTCAGTACTCTCTGACTATGAACTTGGCTATGTATATATAATACTGAAAATATAACGTTTTGCACTCACCACAAACCAAAAGCTAAAGAGAGAGCTAAACTAAAATGGCAGAATCTGCATTGTCCTTGGCCGGTCAGCATTTGCTTCCAAAATTTTGGGAAGCTCTCAATATGCTAAAAGATCTCCCAAAAGAAGTTGCGGACCTTACAGATGAACTGGAGAGCTTTCAAGATTTCATCAATGATGCTGATCAAGTGGCTGAAACTGAACAAGATGGTGGTAGACGTGATAGAATCAAAAAAAGGGTGATGCGGCTGAGAGAAGTAGCTTTTCGCGTGGAAGATCTCATTGATGAATATAAGGTATGTGAGGAAAAGCAACCTGATGATCTTGGATGTGCAGCTTTACCATGTGAGGTTGTTGACTTCATCAAGACTCTGATCCATCGCATTAAAGTAGCATATGAGATTCAGGAAGTTAAGTCACTTGTTCCTGCAGAAAGAAATGGATTCAAAAGCCATTTTCCTTTAGAACAAAAGCCAAACAGTTCTAGAGGAAATCAAAATGTCACATGGCACAAACTTCGAATGGCTCCTCTCTACACTGGGGAAGCTGAGGTTGTTGGCTTTGACGGCCCTAAAGATCAATTGAAAGATTGGTTGATAAAGGGACGATTAGAGCGCACTGTCATCTCTGTGGTAGGAATGGGAGGACAGGGAAAAACCACTCTTGCAAAGTTGGTTTTTGACAACAAGGAGGTCTTTGAATGCTTCGATTGTCGTGCTTGGATCACAGTTTCGCAATCCTACTCTGTAGAAGGACTGCTGAGGGATATGTTGCAGAAGTTTGGCGAAGAAAGAATGAATGTTTCTTCGATGGATCAGATGTCCTTGATAGATCAAGTGAGAGCCCACTTGCATTCTAAAAGGTATGTTATCTTTTTTGATGACGTATGGAATAAATATTTTTGGGATGAGATTGACTTTGCTCTAATTGATAGCAAAAAAGGAAGTAGGATATTAATCACAACCAGAAACGAAGAGGTTACAGAGTTCTGTAAGAAATCTTCTTTCATTCAAGTGCACAAGATAGAGCCTTTAAGTGAAAAAGAATCTTTGAGATTGTTTTCTAAGAAGGCATTTGATATATGTTAAACTATTCTTTCTCATTTTACAATTTTTAAAAATTTACTTTTAAAACCACACCTACTTAAAATTTTATTATTAACTATTCACTTTTTAAAATTTTTAAAAATATTTATATAGGTACAAAATGAAGTATCTTTTTAAACTAGTATATATAATTTAGGTATAGAATGATTAATATTTTGCTATAATAAAACATACGTCCCTTGAAATGAAAAATTCTTCTATAATGTAAGAAAAATACACAACAACTAAAAAATATTTTAATCATGTGTTACCATTCATCTTCGTAGATTCTTGAGATAACCATAAATACTAAAAATCTGTGTCACATCATTTATTATCAACTGTTCATTAAAGACTCATTAAATTTGGATCATGAAATCGAAAGGTTTGAATATTGTTTCTGTGAATTATGTGGCAGTTTCCTTAATTTGATTTTGTTCAATGAACTGGACTCATCACTTTGATCACGTATCTTTCGGGAAAAATAAGATGTAGAACCCTGACGATAAGCTGACGTGCATGACTCGTATAAACTCCTTATAATTTTTTCTCTCTTATTTTTTGGTGTGAGAATGGAGGGTTGAAGAAAATTTTCACTTTTAATATTTATTTAATTTTGGATAAACTAGTATGATTTGACTTCGACTTTCGCAAGTTACAAATTTTTTTGAATAACAAGTTGTAAATACTTATATACGACTTTCAAAAATTTAATTATTTTAACAAAATAAATAAATTGTGATATTATATTATATTATATTTATTATATTTTATATATATATATATATATGAGTAGGGATCCGTTTACTCCAAAAATAAGTTTATCTAGATTTACTCTGTTTAATAATTCACGCTCTATATCAAATATCAACGATCCAATCATTGAATTTAAAATTCTTAATGCATAGATTAAATCTCAAATTTTAAAAAAATTTGAATACCATTTGATACTTCGTTTCATTTATTCAAATTAACGGATAATCATAAAACATATCATCCATCAATTTGAATTAATGAAACGAAGTATCAAATGATATTTAAAAAATATTTAAATTTGTAGATTTGATCTATATATTAAGAATTTTAAATTCAATAGTTAGATCGTTGAGATTTGATATAGAGCATGAGCTATTGAATAGAATAAGTCTACGTAGACTTACTCTTAGAGCAAACGGAACTCTCTCTCTCTCTCTCTCTCTCTCTCTCTATATATATATATATATATATATATATATATATATTTACAAGTCGTACATTATAAGTGCAACTTAATCCATTTTTACATTTTTAAACTTTAATTTTTATTAATTAGTTTGGCAATCTTAAAGTAAAATTACACTAATTTAATAAATTTAAAAATCTCTCTAGTCTTTAATACTAATTTTTTGTTTTGGGTCTCGCTTATTTTTCTGTGTTCGTGCATGATTTTATAAATTTTAATCTAATTTACAAGTAGTTTAATATATCTTTTGAATTTTTTTAACTTGTCATTATGTAATTATTATAGTTGGATTCCTATATGAACAAAAAATTATTAACATAAGTAGGTCGAAACTCTATTCTTTTTAATCAAAATTTAGAAAATTTGTCATAGACCGAGTAAATATCAACATAATTAGAAAGTTATATATAGGAATAAAAATAAGTTATGTTAGATCGGACTTTAAATATATATAAGTTGAGTTTGTTTTATAAAATTAAAATCTAAGATTAATTCCAAACTTGTCATATTTTGCTCTCCTATCCTTTAGGTAAAGAAAGTAGTATTTAGCATTAGAATCAAGGTAACATAAAGAAAATGCATCATCAAGCTCAAAGGGGATATAATTGAAAATCATACTGTAGGATTGATTTTTTGTCTAAAAAGTTGCAACAAACAAAAACATAAGCTTGATCCCTTCTATGCTTACAACAGAGTAATTAATCATTCAAATAATTATGCCACATCAATCATGAAGCAAAACAATGGTGCTTATCACAATACATGCTTGGAGTTAGAAGAAACTTCCTCACACGATTCTAAATCACTAAAAAAAAATTCAAAAATATTTTTTTACCCTGCCTCTCAAAAATAACAAACATGCATCAACTATTATCTATCACACACATCCATGACCACAACTCACACGAATCACAAAAATAGTTAAAGTGCACGGCAAGCATGAACCATGCAACATAGTTAAAACAAGTAGAAAATAGGAAAGGAAGCATCATCAACAAGCTATGCATAAACATAGTTCATTAGCAACAACATAATAAAAAGTACGCAAAAGAAATTAATTAAACCTGTAAAATAGTACAATATTAATATAAATGATGAAAAATAAAAGGAAAAAATGACAAAAAAAAATGTAAAATCCCACAACAAAAATTTGGAGCAACAACTACTTCTCATCACCCTTAGCATCACCAACAACATTAGGGTCTCCACCTCCTTTGGGAAAATTGGCCTACACCAGAAGCCAATCAACCAGGCTTCAAACTCATCAGTCTAGATGTGAAAATCTGGAGGAACGCTCGACATGGAAAAGGATAGTTGCCGAAAGCTATCAAGGAGGGCAAGCTGGCCTTGGTGAAAAACATCCTCCCTCATGGCCCGCTCATGTTGGCCCTACTAAAACATTTGCACAATAACAAACTTAGAGGCAGTAAAGGGTGTAACACCCCTCAGATTTGACCTTTCAGCGACTCCACTCCACGACACTTCACACGATGACACTTCACGTAACTTCTCATTGGTCAGAACCCTCCGTGGGTAGCCTTTTTTGAAATGTTTGTCTATTTTTTAGGATCAACAACTGACCCCACAAATCAATACAAGACTTTTCAGTATGTTTTGTCCTCACTCGCGCACTTCCTGGAAAACTTCCCAGAAAGTAACTTATCCCTAAATTACTCCAAGTTAAACACGTTTAACCATGGAGTTCTTATGGAATAAGCTACAAAAAAGTAGATGCATCTTGTTTGTATAGGTAGTACAAATTATTTTCTTTAAGTTATCCTCAACTATACATTCTCATGCTTGTACAACTTCTGGATCTCTCTCATTCTGATGTGTTCGAGCTATTACAAAGGGTGAAGAACCTGCACCATCAGTCATAGAAATGGAGGAGGTGGACTCTTCCTTGTAATGGGTGTTGATATAAGAGAGGGTGATGGGCTTGTGGAGGGAAAGCTTAAGATCATCAACAATGTCCACACCTTGGGACAACATGAGACCAGTTAAGAGAGCCAGAAAAACCCAACACAGTGGTTGAAGGATAATTTGCAATTGTGGCAATCTCATAGGAAATGATAACTTCAATGTCCATATCCAAGTCGACAATGATGACATACACCAAGTCAACCTTCTTCATAGTGAGATCTAAAGCATAACTATTCGAGTAAATGTTGCAAAAGGTGAAGACACTCCAAGTTTGAGCAAATGGGTAACTCTCCAAATTTTTCAAATGAGCCCCCAAGAATGAAAAAAAGAGAAGCCGCCACATCATAGTCCTAAGGTTTTCTCTGCTAGATAGAAAAAAGGTGTGTGACCAAAGGGTTAGGATGTCTATAGATAATAGTTGAGAGATTTTCCATCAAACTTCAAATTGGTCCCCATGACCTAAGAGGTGTACTTCATGGTCTCATCAATTCTTTTACAAGGACTTCATTGATTTGATATAGGGAGTCTGGCCAACATATTCTCTCATTTGCGTCTTTCTATCTCAATTGTGAATTTGGGAAAGGAGTCAGTAAAAATATGGACTTGTCACTCGGAAAGAATATGAAAACTTTGGAAATCATCCTCATGTCACTCCTCATCCTTATAAGAAAAAAATTATATGGCATCAAACCCATGCTCATCCATCTGAACATCGAGAACAATAAGGGATGAGGAAGGAACAATTTGTTTCTTGTCAAATGGTCCCTTTCCAAAGGATTTCTTGGGAGCCATTATAAAAAAGATGTTGAAAAGAAGGAAAAGAAAACAACCAAGGGATCATGTTGAAAAGGGTGCACATAGCAGCAAGGTGACAAGGGAAATATGAGATGGTGGGTAAGAAAGATGTTGAAGAAAATGAGGGAAAAAGAAAAGGTAATGGAATATAATTGGGGGAGTTTACAAGGAGTTGTGGAGCTGAGAGGTTGAGGAATGAGGGAAGGTAAGAATTTTGAAATTTGGGAAGTAAGTGAGAGTAAATGGGAGAGGGAATGGTTAATGGAGGTGGTTAAAGGGGTTAAAAGTGAGAAAAGGGAGAAATAGAAGGGGATCTAGAGATAAGCTGACAATACGGCAAGCGAATTCTCACTAAACGAGAAATGTAGAAAGGGAATCCCTACATTTTTCGTCAAGCAAGGGCACTGGCAGTTAAGCAAGACCACAATTTTGCTTAGCTAAAATAGATTGGTTGAGCAAAATTGGTTTGAAACAACTTTTGAAAATCAATAGAGGAGCAAAAATTAGTCGCACATAAGCTAGTGATGCTACCAACAACAAGAATTACATTGGAAAACATCACACAAACAATAATTCAAACACACAAAAACATTTTTAATTGATTCACAAAACATGAAAATAAAACTTAAATGAAAAGTTAGAAATCTTGGATTGCCTCCCAGTAAGTGTTTTTCTTAATGTCTTAGCCTGACGCATGGATAGATACTTAATGCTTCTTCAAATTGCAGCTCTTCGTGAGCCAATCAACGACTTCACCAAGGTACGACCTCAATTTCTAGCCATTCACTAGCCAGCTCCTCTAAGAAGAAAGGTCCTCCACCTCAATGACTTCATGAGGCTTGACTTTATTAATTGTGAAGGGACTAAACCATTTTGATCTCAACTTCCCGAGAAAGAGTTTCATTTGAGAGTTAAACAATAAAACTTGTTGTCTGGTCAAAAATCTTTTTTCACAAGATTTTTTTTATAATGATAGGTCTTCATCCTTTCCTTGTAGAGCTTGAATGATTCATAAATGTGCAAGCACATTTTCTCTATCTCAAGTAATTGATTCTTCCTCTTTTCAACAACTTGTGTGGAGTCAAAGTTTAGAAACCTAAGAGCCTAATAGGCCTTGTGCTCCATCTCAATAGGCAAATGGCATGCTTTGCCATACACCATTTGAAATGGTGTTAAACCTATTGGATATTCTTCATGGTTGTACAATAGGTTTATAAGGCATCATCAAGCTTGTTACTCTAGCCTTTGCATGAAAGTGTCGTTTTCTCTAATATCTGCTTGATCTCTCAATTTGACACTTCCACTTAACCATTGGTATATGGATGATGAGGAGTGGCTACCTTGTGCCTGACTAATTAGTGCTCAAGAACTTTAGCTAGTTGTGAGTTACAATAATAAGACCCTCCATTAGAAATAAGGACTCTAGGGACTCCAAATCTTGATCACAATTTTGGAGTCACTTTTCTAAAGAACAATAGCTTCAACCCGCTTTGATACATAATCAACTACTACCATAATGTATTCATTAGAAAATGAGGAAGGGAAAGGGCTTATAAAATCAATATCCCAATAGTCGAATACTACAACCTCCAAGATGTTCCGAAGTGACATCTCATGCTTCTTGAAAATAGTACTAGTCCTTTGGTGCTTGTCACAACTCTTAGTGTGGTGATAAGCATCTTTAAAACTACTTTGCCAATAGAATCTAGCTTGAAGTACTTTCACAATTGTACGTTCACCGTTATAGTGACCACTATATGGAGAGTTGTGGCAATGCCACAATATGTCTTTGACTTCCTCCTTAGTAACACACCTTCTCAACAAGTTATCACCCCAAGCTAAAATAAGTTTGGGTCATTCCACACAAAGTAGTCAGAGTCACGAAAAAACTTCTTTGGTGCCAATTCATGTCCTCTAGAATCACATTAGCTATCTTAAAGTTTGGCATAGCCGCAAACCATGCTCATTCTTGCACAATGGAAAGCATTTCATTAGGTTATTCAGCTTTGATCTCCAGCTTCTTGTGGGTCACCTCACCTCCTTATTGAGTAGTCGAGATAAATTGTCAACCACCACATTAATAAATCATATATTACTTGTAGCTCTACTAGTATTTAGTCAAACTAGGCATTTTTCATTAAAATTAAGATGGACTCAAACATTACACATGAATATGAAATTATTTGTCATCCTTAGATACACAAAATTATTAGTAATATCATGTTTGTACACTATATCTTAAAAATAAATTATAGACCTTAAAATAAATGTTATTTATTTACCTCAAAACTACTAATTTTTTGACAAAGACATTAACATTATCATTAAGAAAAAAAAATAATGATTTTAAATTCTTAAAAATAAACATTATAGAAAAATATTTTACATGAACCAAAATTAAAATTATTCATTTTACACAAACAAAAAAACAATGTAAATTTTAGAAAGATGAAAAATAGCGAAAAAACTACAAATACTAAAATTAAAACCTATTCATCTTACATGAACTACAAATATATTTAAGTCAGTTATATTTAAGCAAAAATTTTGAAATGTTATTATTATTATTATTTTATAATAATGTTAGTATATATCGGCGCAAAAATGTCCACTCTGTCTCATAAAAAAAAAAAATTGTCAACACTATTCGAACCGTATTATTGGTCTAGTGTTCCAATTATAATTTTTAATTAAATACCTGATGCAATGGGTATGTAGACGAAGGTGTGGGAAAGGTGTTTGACTATACTTCGTTGAGAAGATGGGACGAGCTTCACAATGTAAGGCTCTTCTTTCCCAAATATTTATCAAAAATACATATAACAAGGGTGTAGGGGTATAAAAAAAAATACAACTAAATCCAATCACTTCATAAAAAGAATGGTGATGGGTTTTCTACATTCCAACTACAAGACTTCATATATTAAGTGTAAAATCCGGAACACACCAGAATGAGAATAATTCAGAGATTGAACAGTTCAAGAAGATTTAAGAAATAAATTAATAGTACTTATACTAATATAAGATGCACATATTTTTCATAACTTGAAGAGGAGTGTTATGTAAAGCACAATCAATAAACACGGTAGAAAACATTGAAACTATTGTTTCCAACACCACCCAAAGATCCACCATCGTTGGATTTCTTCCCAAAAACTATTTCCTAGTCCGTATTCAACTGTTAATTTAAGTGGGGGATCCGAAGATGAAAATGAACTTCTAATATTGAAACAACTAAATTAACCCATCCACATGCAATGGATAATTCCCAAAATCCCCATACGCTGGACCTCCAACCTGTGCCTTGTTTTTCTCATGTCAAATGCACACCACTAAGTAAATATATCCAGCAGAAGATACAAAAGGCTCATCTAAAATAGATTTCAGATATGTACCCGTCAGGATAATTACTGCTACAAATACAACTGAAGAGAGATTGGAGAAGGGGGAATATACCTAGCTACAACATTTAATGGAAATAATTTACTACTGTCTGCAAATAAGAAATCAGGATTATTCAAGCATACTGAAGCCAAAAGCTTCATTCTGCTTAACCCAGTAAGTAATAATAGGGGAACTAGAGAGCTAAAGCCGGCATAACCAACCCTTTCTTTCAATCTCTTTTTCCCTAATGGGAATTGGGAAGCCTGCACCACTCAAAGTAGAAGAGAAGCTACAAGCATAGTGAGAGAGGAGAAAAAGAAGCAGACAGTGACCTTAGCCTGTGCATTTCGCGGCGGTTGTGCTCCTGGTCCAGTCCCAGCAATGGGGCTAGATGGGGCTATTTTAGAAAGGGAAGGCAAAGGGGGTTCTGTCACTTCAGCTTCGGTCAGGGGAGGGGAAGGAGCTAAAGCCGGTGGCAACGTAGCCATTTGTTGTAAAAGGGTACCTACTGCAACTGGTAACATGTAAGGAGGTGTGTTGTTACCCAAATTTAAGCATCTGTTCCCTGCGGTAGAATGAGAAACAATCATATCAGTAATCAGATGTGAGACTTCATTGTAGAGCTGAATTTGATATCAAGGGAAAACAAAAGGAGTGAGGCCCGGTAAAAACTATGATGGAAAGAAAACAAAAGGAGTAAGAAAGAAATCAACTATTTGTTATATTCTGTGGTTATGGCTACGGGAATTATGAGTGATAATTTGCTACATTAAAATAAAGTATGGAAGAGTTAAAGAACTGGAAGTAAAATGTGCCAAAATCCTGCAGTGATTAAACAGAAAATATGAAAACCAAGTAGTGCCCAAATTGCACCTTTAATTCCAAAAACAAGAAATAGAGGTTTTGTATGCACTTACTTCTGTATCTATTAGCTGTTTTTGGGAAGTCCGTGATGATACCATCAATTTCGGCATCTTGAACAAATGTGTTGATCTCCACAGTTGCATCTGACATGAAATCCCATGCCTGAGATACAAACTCGTTGCTGAATGTTTCTACGTAAACAGAGAGGTTAGAAGATTTGAACTTCGGCACAATCTTTGTAGAGCCCATCCCGAAGAGTTTAGAAACAGGATAAACAGAGGCCTTCTGGATAACCACAGAATGAGCAAATCTTTTGATATCCGAAATAGCTGAATCAACAGCATCATGAACTATCTCATCAATCTTGTAGACAAGCTCATACTTGGTTTTATTCTTGACTTTCAGAAGTACAGAACTATTAGTAGATTGAATCATAACTTTTGGAGCCCCTGGTTTATCATAACCTGCTTTGCTTAAAGTATCAATGACTGCATCAGTCACACTTAAGTTTTCTTTACTCGCAAGATAGGCTGCATTCTGACAATAGTAGAAAACAACATAATTTCAATAAGAAATAGGAGAAATAAATTTATAGAACTTCATTATCTTATCCGTTGACATGTTAGAACACTATTATTATCACTGATCCTCAAAAATGTAGAAACCACATATTTCTCCCTCTCTCTTAGTGATTTGAGATCCCCAATGAGATCCAGATTCTAGATGGGGAACTGAAATGGGGAATGGGGAGTGCAGGTATCAAATTCCCCACCATGAACACCAGTCTCCTTGTGACCAGGGCAGGGACTAACAGGTCTAAGACCATGGACCCCACAATTCTTTGTTCAAGATAATTCAGGGGCACCTAAAGAATAAATATTTAATGTAAAACCCACAATGTATTTCTAGAGCTAACAATTAGAAGCTCATTACTTTTCTTATTGTTTAATCAGGATAATGGGAAGGAAGCAAGGATAACCATAAGAGTTCTAAAAGCAGCAAAAGTTGGCTAAGAAAATAAAACCCCCACAGGGCAAACTCAAGTTTCTTCTTGTTGCTAATTTAACAAAATAATGTGCAGTCTTAGTTGTTTCCTATTCCTGTTTCCCTAATCCTTCACATTTTCAAAACAATAATGTGATATTTGTCAAATTAATCATTAAATGACTTGACTAAAAGTTTTCATCCTGCAGTTTCTCATCCTGCAATTATTATTGAAGTGATAGTAAATGAAACTTATAACAAGTTTCATATTAGAAAATGTCTTGAGTTTATAGTTCATTCAACATTATAATAGAACTGGACCAGAATTTAAGGAAAACAGAAAGCAAGGGAACTTTGTTTAGTGTCTGTCCTCCTCCAACACTAGATCAATGGAAACCCAAAGTTCAGAAGAGCAAGATTGTGTACCTATGAAGTACCAACTTACAAGTCAGTTTTGTAGGTTGGGTTAGGCTCCAACTTGCTTTTTTAAAATGGTATTTGAGTTTGTCCTAGTGACTATTGATTGTGGTTGGGCCTATCATGATCATTTATCAAACCACTCGCAGATATCCAGTCCTGTAAATTTCATGTTCAAGATGTTCAATCTTTGAAGTGACGGTGTATGTTAGAGATCTCATATCGAGTGGTGATATGACCAAAATAATGTATGTAAGTGGGAAGCAATCCTCCCTTTACAAGCAGGTTTTATGAGGTTGAGTTACACTTCAACTCACTTTCTTAAGATGCTCGATCCTACTTCTACACTCGACCTCCTTGAGCTTATGGGGAAGTGTATGAGTATATTACTCAGTTGATTGTATGTTGACAGTTAGTGTAACTAACTAGCTTCCTGCTTCCAAAGGAAGCTAGTCAATTAAGTAGGTAGTAGCATCTCATTTACAGCCAGTAGTTACTCCTGTAAGCCATAGAGTTAGCTAGAATTCTTTTGTATAAATACCTATTTGTATTAGTGATTGTAATAGATTCAATTTTCAGTCAATAAAATTTAGATTTCCTTCTCTCTTTTTCTCTCAACTTCAATACTTACTAACCCCCCATTCCTAATTATCTACATATTGATGCAATTAACAACCGACGAACAGCAATGAAAAGTTATACAGAAATTATGTAAGAATTTTACTGACATTAATTAATTAATTTACAATGTACAGGTCACAACTGTGTTTTTTTTTTCCTTTGTATTTTTCCTTTTACTGTGGCAAAAATAAACCTAATAATAACTACAAGTTTAGAGAGAAAAAGGTATATTCTCATATTAATTATTGTCTCATACATTGTAGGATTTAGTCTTTTCTTTAGGACTAGTAGGATTTATAGTAAGAATTAGTTAATCAGATAACTAATCAACTACAAATTAGGAGAAAATAAATGAACAAAACAAGGGGTGAAAAACTGCCAACCTAACAGCAACTGAATAGGTGGATTCAGTTAAATATAAAAATCGTAGGAATTAATTGATTTAATGCCCAACAAACTTGGACAATAACAATGAAGATAATGTTTCAGTTTCCATGCTTTGATTCGCAATCACATTAAATCTATCTGCTATCTAGCCATTAAAGAATCAAAAAAGAACTTATTGAAAAAAGAATTTAATTGAAATACAAAGTTTTTTACACTATTGTTCAATCATGAATTACCATATAATTGAAAATTGTTGACTTCATAATAATTACTTTTAAAGTCATATATAGGGTGATTTGACTGATTTCTAACAGGTTAATAGTGTAAGAATCTTTATACTGACCAATGACCATGCATCAAAAATTAACTCAATACAGAGACACTTGCTACAATACTTGTGATGAACCTCTTCTTAGTGATGCCTGAGATCCTAAGTGTGAACCTGTCTTCCCTTCTTTATCTCTTTTAAGATATATTCTCATAACCAGACTCCTTAAAATGATTAAAGTGACCCTAAACCATTCTCCTACTAACCCCAAAAAATGCTGTTAGCACTTAGCATGTAATCTTCCAAGCCCGGCAAGCCATTCCACAGCAACCTTATTCAAAAGTAAGTGATATGTCTAAGAATAAAAATTTCAGAAAAAAAGTTTAGCCACTTAAAAATTGTGCAGTTCTGAGACATCTACTTAAACAAGCATGGGAACCAAGCTGTTTAACCAACATGATTTCATTGAAAAACCTAAAAATGACAAGACAAACACATAACCCGACCAAACACTTATCGCATGACCCAGCCATAAGCAAATTGATGTTTGATCATTGCAACAAGTAATTACAAAATATATTAGAGACAGCATTTCAATTAGCAAAACTATTAACACAAATACATCTCACAAACCTGAAATATAACCCTTATTTTCACGCCATACTCAATATAACTTTTAACAATTCACTGGTTCATTTACTTAGTATTTGATATTATTTTATTATCATGAGAAATTTCTCGCTCTAGATGAAGTACTACATGCCTATAACAACTAAATAATGAGAATTCATAGTAGCATTTAATTCTAATTACATCTAGTAATGCTGTCAACAATTGCTTGACTCCCTTCTCAATGTTACCTTGGTTTTACAAGGATGATATTAATGCCTAAAATGAATCATGACAAGTCATTTTTTAAGTTTTTCCTTGTGGCTTCCAGTTTACTGAGCATGACTACACTTTATGAAAGATATTAAATGTTCACATAATTACAGCTAATGGAGTGAATTGAAAACAGAAATAACAGGCACAAGCAGAACGTACCTCAATGATGATCACAACACCTAATAGGGAAGTATGACCTTTTGTCAAGTTCAAGAAATCTGACAATGTTAAAAATTCCACCTTCTTGTTATATTTTGGGTTCCTATACAAACTGTACTTTGAATATGGGTTCAACATTGAGGCTGCAGGGAAAAGGAAGAACAGAAAACACAAAACAGACGTCAAATATTTGCTTATAATTTTCCATATTTTCATAAAAAGTAAAATATGTTCACAGGAGGAGTGAAGCACAAAATAAAATTCAAGTGGTACAAAAATGAATAAATTTTTTCACAAGATTAATCTTTCTAGCAGCTATAAATAACTTGGGATTTGTCAGAGCAGGGTTCCGGGCACCTCTTTCAGGTCCATATCCAAAAATAAAGCATATATATTACACAAATAAAAGAACCAAAACAATTATGAATCTATGATAATGTACCTGTAAGCAAAATTGATTATCCTGCAAAGAGAAGCAATAAGGTCATTTCTGTCCCAATTAGTCCTAATGTATGTGTCGGAAGTCAATCCCTAAATTTTAGGAGAATCACAGCATCTTATTAATTGGAAGGATTGCAGTCAATTATTCTATTCTTTATTTCACTCCTGTGATTCTGGGATTCCTTGGGAATATCCTATTTATTATTTCCTTTTTTTCTTACATATTTCTATATAATGTATTCATGCTTTTGAAATAAAACAAGACAGGAAATATTTTTCTTTACAGTCTGCTAATAGTATGATTTGTTTGTATTGTGTTGTATATGTATCTGTATCTCATTCTACATGAATTTCCACTTGTTTGAGGTGTATATCAATTACTGTTTGATAGGTCTTTTATATAAATGACCTGAATGAAGAGTATTGGACCATTTGACTTACGGGTCAAGCTTTTTATATCATTCCATGCCAAGTCAAATGTATATATTCCATTGCTAGATTTGATCTCTGGTATAATTTTGCCAAGTTTGCTGAAACTTGATCGAACAACATTTGTGCTCTCTATAAGATCAATAGAGCTTAAGCAAAATGGTATTCCATCCTTTGCCATTTGAACAGGACAGTCAAGAATATCCACACCATCTGAAATAGCCTTTTCATATGCTAAGTCGGTACAAGGAGGATAGTCTCCACTTGCTCCATATTTTGAAATGACCAAAGTGTTAACTGAAACATGAACAGAATGAATGCATCTGGTTAAAAATGATGCAACCTATACCAGCATACAAGTGTTATAAAATGAACCACCAGAGAAAGACTAATGAACAAGATGAGAAAACATATTCATAAGCAAAACAGAGCATTGATTTTAATGTACCTTTCTTTGGAGCATTGAGGCCCATGTGAGCAAAGCAGTCTGCATAAAAAAGAGAATTCAATATTTATTTAAAATGCATACATTGATACACATATTCTGAAATTAGTCAGGTTGGGATTGTTATGTACAATTCACATGTAACAAAAATCAAACACTGAAGTACATACATGTTTTTAGAAGATGCAAAAGCATAGTAAATTGATATAGAAAATTTTAGTTTGGAAAGATAATAGCATGCAATACTTGGAGGAAAATTATCTACATTTGTGTTAATGCATAAGAAAAATGAACATCATGTTGTTTTTTAATATAGGAATGCAGGATTTGTGTAATGCTCACACAAACTAATTTATTTATAGATAAAGAGAAAACAATCATTGGGGAAATAAATCCCTAAAAATCTGCTATACATAGTTTCTCTATTTACAGTAAATCTAATCATATCTTTAACATTTACAATGGTTGCCTAAAGTATATAGTTGGAACCTGCCTAAAGAATAAGTCTAGTCTAAACTGAACTTTGCCTAAAAGACTTTAAGTAAGATTATGTGCATGCACTACCACCAACATTAAGACATGAAATTAAAGGTAACTATCTATTGGGGTACAAACAAAGTCCCCACATTGGATTATTAGGAGAAATAAAAGTTTATAAAACACACATAATCTCCATTTGCAAGAGACTTTTTGAAAGATGACCAAAAGCAAAACTATGAGGGTTTAGACCCAAAGTGAACAATGTCATACCAATATAGAAATGTGTGAACCTTGAGTGCCCAACACTATCCAACCACCAAAGTCTCTCAAAGCTTTACAAATTCAGATGTGATGGCCAATATAGTTTCCACCAGCACTATTTCTTTGATAAAGAAGTCCATATGATATAACTATGTGAGTGGTCCCTCATGGAAATGCTATTTACCAACAAATCAATATCCGAGTACACAGATCTTGGAATTCCAGCATTGTACAAAATCAGGCATGGTGATGCACACCATAGATCCTTGCTTTCAGTATGCATGTGCACTTAAATTTTTTTAACAAAGTAAAACTGCATGCCAAGGAGAAACTCATTTAGGGTCCGTTTGGTTCAAAGGAGGGGAGGGGAGGGATTTTAATGGATTTGGGGTGGGGTTGGGGAAGGGGAGGAGTTAGAAATTTTGTTTGGTTGAGAAGGAGGAGGGGCGAGAGGTAGCTCTTTTCTTGTTTGATTTGATTCACACGGGGAGGGGATGGATTTTAAAAACTAATTTACTTTTGTATTCTTATAATTTTAAATTTAATAACATAAATATGGATATTTTAAATATTATATTAAAAATGTTTTAAAATATTTCCCTCCCCCTCCCCTCCAAATCCCTCGGTAAAATTGGGTTAGGAGCAGTGTTTTAAAACCCGGACCGACCCGGCCGGTTGGACCGGGAACCGGTAGTCTAGCCGGTTCGAATCTGAAGTTGGATCGGTTATGCAGTCGACCCGTTTCAAACCGGATTGAACCGGTCAATTTTTCGGTTCAACCGGTGAACCGGTGGGTCAAACCGGTTCAACCACTTTTTTTTCTTATTTTTTTTTTAAATTTTTTTAAGAGATCATAAATCACAAAAATAATAATAAAAATTGAATCTCTTAATGAAAAAGCAAAGAGTCTTATTAAATATAACAATGACTACTTGTTCTAATATATTTGTTTGCAATATATACAACTTAAATAACTTTTATAGTATATTATTAATTTTAAATTATATATTTAATAATGCAATATCTATGTAAATATTACATATATTATTTTGTGATATTAATTGCAAGCATATTATATATGTACATATTATTTATATTTTTAATTTGTATTAATATACCGTTTAACATGTAATTTTTTATGTATTTTTTTACAAAATAAAAATAAAAATAATTTTAAATAAGATAGAAAAATTGAAATTTAAAATAAGATATGAATTTATTAAAATTTATAAGTATAAAATATATTTAATAT